GAATTAGAGGTGTGAGGAGAGAAGTAAAGGTGTAAAATAGTTAGCTAGGGGAGCTGGGAGTGAATGGATTATGGACACGTACTAAGGCCCACCAGTTTTGTTGCTGCAAAAATAAGAGGACACAAATTAGAGTGACTATGTGTATGTAGGGTAATCTGCTTGGAGAAAGAAATGAATCCATCCAGCTTTAGTCGCTCAGTCATCTGTCCCTTTGCCCCCTTCACACCACCTTCATTGTCCTGTTATTCTTGAAGACCTGCTCTTGAACAAACTACAGAAATAGAGCACTGCAACAAACTTAAGGTGGCAGTTGCAAAGGTGCCCTGTGGCCACATATAGTATTTTTAAATTGTGAGGGAAACACAGTGACATCTGTTGGGCATGGTGCAAACTACTAGCTCAACGTAGTTCACAGTTACATTACTTGATGGTTCTAGATTTCTGTTCATTCCTTAATTTATTTGCGAAGCTGAGTTTTCTAGCTTTTGCTGAGATAAAACACTGCACAAAAATCAGTTGGAGTATCCAATCTGATTCCAAAGTTTGAAAAGTGCAGAGCCCAACAGCTACAAACAACCCTCTAGCAAGCAATTGTTGTTATCTAAGAATAAAATTTAAAAATTTCACATTTATGTTTTTTTAAACAACTTCTGTTGTTAAGATATGAATAATAATGAGGTTGTTTAGACCTAAGCTACTTAATATGAAGAATTATTAGCTATTTATTTTGGTCAAGGGATATAATCAGAGATACCAAAGGCACTGAGAAATTTCGGGAACCTCTGATTTGAGGATGAATTCTTGTTGCTTCCTGTATTTCTTCCAAGAAATGGGTCAAGGCCCCTGAGGGATGTAGTTGTGCGCAGTAGAACTAGGAAATTCTCACACCTACATCTAAATCTTGCACGGGATAGCTTAAGAAAAATCCTCCCTCCCTCATTACCTTGAACTTGAGTGGAAATCTCTCTACCCGGTTTTAACGGCACTTGGGCTGCACCATCGGGATCTGTTATAACTTGGGATTTAAAGCCAAAAGGAAACACAGGACTCTCGGCTCCCCCAGAGCCACGTGGGTCACCAGAAGACTTGGCTTGGATGTTAATTGTTTTGCCAACATCCACTGCAAATGGGTAACTCATGATAGATGGCTCAAGCCACGTAACTGAGGCCTCAGAACTGCTTTTGTTTTCTCCAGCAAAGATACGGGAACAAATGCCTGTGTGTTGGGCAAATGAGCTGCCACTAAGCTGTTTACGTGTGTGCGCGCGTGGGAGCCTGTTACAGGGCTCTGCAAAGATCTTCTCCTCTTGATGTGTAACGTCAAGACTGGGCTTTCTTCATTTTTGATAAGTTCAGTACCCAGGACAAGGGCTGGCACATGGCAGACACTGAATAATGTTTGATGTTAGAATGTGGCTGTTAGGGCACCTGGGGGGCTCAGTGGGTTAAGCCTCTGCCTTCAGCTCAGGCCATGATCTTAGGGTCCTGGGATCGATCCCCACATCGGGCTCTCTGCTCAGCAGGGGGCCTGCTTCCTCCTCTCTCTGCCTACTTGTGATCTGTGTCTGTCAAACAAATAAATAAAACCTTTAAAAAAAAAGAATGTGGCTATTAATAAATTTCTGTTATCTAATTTGTATAAGCAGATGTACCCAAAAAACTGAAGAAGCTGAAGCTGTAGGGCCCCCAAAGATTTATAAATATTTGAGGTATTTTAATTGTAATTAGTTCAAAGTATTTTCTCTTTCTACTTTGCCTTGGCCTCTGTCATATTTGACTTCATGTTTGGTGAGATCAGAGAGGCTGTAAACATTTTTGGGATCCGTCTCAGGGGAAGTGGAATTAGGGTGCACTTAGTTTGGGTTCAAGGAGCTAAATGTCTGTGATTGACATTCACTCTTGTCTATAGCTATGCTAGCCATCCCCGTGTAGAGATGGGTGCCAGGAATCCTGCCCACTCTGAAGGACACATCCCAGGTTGAGACATGAAGTCAGGGGTATGGTCTGGTGAAAGCCTCCCACACTGTCGGCTGCAGGAGGAATGTCCATTACAGAGGAAAAATGGGACATGGAAAGAAGGTATAGGAAACTGGTCTATAGAAAATCTTCCATCAGATATGTAAAAATATGTAAAAAAATAAGCTGCTGAGTCATTCTCCACAACACCTCGTCAAAAAGGATGTTCTTTTCTGACAAGAATATACTCAAAAGAGCAGAGCACACAGGATACATTTAGCATACTTTCTTTCTTCACAGGGGTTGCATGATACAGAGTTTACCACCATTTGCGGCTATGGTACGAAACAATACCAGTACCACAAACAGCAAGGACATCTGTGTGTAATGTAACACGTCACACATCTTAGTCTATCAGTTTGCATCTTCCTGATCCGATGTATCCAGTTCTAATGAAGTCTGGTGGTTCATTAGATGAAATGATACGCAAAATGGCCACTGAGTCAACAAAAGTGCCTGCATGTTCTACATTGTCAGTAATAAATAAATTTTGATCAACCACTAGAAGATTGGTTTACCTTTGATCTCTGTATGAAAAATTATAAAAAATTATTTTTCCAAGAGATGATCAAAGAGTGTGCAGCCAAAAAAATGTTGGGAAAAAGTACATTAACCAGTTAACAAAAATGTCATTTTTCTGGATTATGATGGTTTGGGTTTGATCAGCTTTACAAATTTTGAACTATGTATTGATACCTTACTCTGAAGATGCCCTTTCATATTTACTTTTACATTCAGAATCTTACAATATTTCTCTATTAACAAATAGACATTTGGTGTCTCATGATGTAAAAACTAGTTACAATGCCAGAACTAATCACTCGATCCCTCCCCTATCATTTATGGGAGGAAATTTTGCTATTTCAGCCATAAGAGCTCTAACTATATAACATTTTTTAAAAGATTTTATTTATTTATTTGGCAGAGAGAGACACAGCAAGAGAGGGAACATAAGCAGGGGAGTGGGAGAGGGAGAAGCAGACTTCCCACTGAGCAGGACCCTGGGATCATGATCTGGAGCCAAACGCAAGACACTCAATGCCTGAGCCACCCAGGCGCCCTCCAACTATATAACATTTAACTATTTAGGAGCTCTATAGCTCTAACATCTTCTAATTTGCATTGCCACAGTGACAGCTGATCTTCCAAAGTAAACACATTTTATTTCAAATGCTGCACATTGTGAAACCTCTCTGAAGACTTTTTAAAGGAACAAGTAGGGATCCGTAGTTAATCATTTCAATCTGCCAATGGGGACACTATTAGCAAAACACAGATCATGGGAAACTCTACAGAACAAAAAACCTGGTTTCTTCAGTTTGAAAAATTGTAAGGAAAAAATCCCAATGGAATGAGAAGCCTATGAATTAAAAAAGACTTAAAAGACCAAGTGTAAAGTGCAACTTTCTTTATACCCCAATTCGAACAAACTTAGAAAGTGACTTTATGAAATAATTGGAAATCATCTGAATAATTGATATTAAGAAATCAATGTTACTATTTAAGATGTGAAATGATTTTGTTAAAAATAGTTATCTTGTGGAGATACAGAAAATATTTGTAGATAATACTATGACAAGATAGATGATCGTTTTTCATATCACCATTATATTCATGAGAGAATAACAATGCTTCTTTTATTATAAATGCTACTTGATCTTCTTAAAACACATATTTACTATGCTTGGAATATTTGGGCATGCTTAATAAAACAAACAATTGCAAAATATTCCATTTTTTTAACCAAGCAAAGTACATAATTTTATACAATTTACATACAACTTTTATGTTAACAATAGAAATAATGAAATTATTTGTTTTTGATATTTAACAATAGAAAGACTTTATCTCCCAAGACATGCACTACAACCAACTTAATAGATTCTGTCATCAGAATGACGGTCTTGGCATCTTATACATGAGATCTGTCCATGGGGTTTGACAATCAGATTGAATATGTTAATAGTCTTTATTTTAAAAAATATTGAACATACACACACAAAAAGACAGGATAGTAGGATGGGCCTCTGTGTACCCCTCACGCAGCCCTTGAACTTCAATCTATAGCCAAACTTGTCTTATCTACTTCTCATCCATTTCTCCAGTAGTATTTTTTTAAAACTTTATTTATTTGGCAGACAGAGTTCACAAGTAGGCAGAGAGGCAGGGAGAGGGGGAAACAGGCTCCCCACTGAGCAGAGAACCCGATGCGGGGCTCGATCCCAGGACCCTGAGATCACGACCCGAGCCGAAGGCAGAGGCTTAACCCACTGAGCCACCCAGGTGCCCCTCCATTAGCATTTTGACACAAATCAGTCACTTGCAGCAGGAGGTGAGCCTGCGGTACCCCCGAGCCAGGGGCCCTGAAGCCCAGGGCAGGGAAATACATTGGCAGGTGGCCATGGGCAGACAGGTCGTGCAGGTACACTGGGAGGCAGTCTCCCTTCCCCTGGTAGTTCTGCAGGATGACTTTTTGCCCCTCAGAGGACGTTCCTGCACAGCGGCAGGTGCTCCGGACTGAGGTCCTGAAATGACCAGGTGACCCAGCAGTGGCAGACGGTGATCAGGTGCAGGCCAATGAGCTGCCGCTCAGGTCCAAAAGGAGGACAAAATCATCATAGGAATATGGTCCCTCAAAACCAATACTTACACCTGTGTTTTGTAACCTTTGACATTGTTGAACTCTCACTGCTGTTTAAAACTCTCTCCCTTTGGTTTCTATGCCCTCCCAACTTTCTGGTCACTCTCTCCCAATCTCATTTACAGGGTCCCTTTCTCCAGACGCACCCTCAGTCATCATGTGGGATGGAAAGAGGGCTTCTTCGTCTCTGCTCCTCTCCTGTGGGATTACGAGGAGGCAGCTTAAACTAAAAGGAGATCCCACCACATGGTGGGATCAAGCCCAAAGTCATCTGCTCTTCCATCCTGTCCTCCAGAAAAATTGTGCAAATTTACTGCAGAAATAAAATATATCAGTTTAGAAAACAGTTCATGAGGAAACCATTTGACTTTATGTGGTTTTATTTTTCACAGAATAACACAATAGCAACCAGTTTTCCACTTCAGATGACTCTAGATGTGCTAATATCAATTTGGACAAACTGGACTGAAGGACTCCAGGAGGGACTCCAAAATCTTCTTGGGTGAAGTCCATATATTGAAAGAACTTGAAAGCTTTGCCACCAGAGGAACTCTGAAGTTTGTTTTCCGTAAAGTTCTTGGGGGAATAGTCCAGCGAATGGTTTGGGGCACAATCTCCAGTGAGTCTGCTGGTATACAGGCATAAAAAAATGGCTGGGTTTGTCTTCTTTCGAAATGAAAGTTGATATCCTCTTGAGGAAGCTTTGATGGTAACTTAGGTTTGCTTGGGCAGTAATTTGGTCTTTCTGACTCATAATTATGGACTTTCTTCTTTCTCGTGCGTTTCTCTTTATTCTGTGTACAACTGTAATCACAGTCCCAATGAATGTTGTTCTTTCTAAATAAATCAATTTTGGCTTTCTTTCCTTCTTTGCTTTCCATATGCCTGTGAGGTTTGCCTTGGCCTTTTGCAAGATGTAATTTGATATTTGATTCTGTTAAGGGAGCTAAAGATTGGTTGGTTCTGCACCTTGTAGTCCTTGAAGACTTCTCTCCACTGAATGGAACAGAAGATGATCTAGACGGAACTTCTATAGCATTTAATGAACCTTGGCACAACCAGTCAGGAGATGGCATTTTAGAGGACAACCTATATTTCCTGCTTTTGTGGGATTCACAGGAAGGTGTGACGACTGAGGAGTGTTTTCTACAGACTCTTACACGCTGGGAACCCGAATCTTCCCTGTACAATGGTTTCAAATTAGTTTTCCTTTTTTTCATCTCGTACAGATTTTCCAAAGGAATGCCTTTCTGTAATTCAAATAGAATGTTTCGTGATTCCTGACTTAAATAAGGGTTGGCTCCTAAAAACATACATTCTTCACTCTCACGTGCTTCAAGAGCTAAGCATTCCTCCAAGTTGGCTGGACTCTCAATATTTGTCTGACTCTGGGTAAAATCATCAGAAATCTGAGTTGAACGGGAATCAACTAAACTGGGAGTGCTTTCCTGAGTCTTCGAATCAAAAGATTTGGATGTATCTGTTTCTTGAAACCATACATGACATTGTTTATCTTTTTCCAGAGTCCTGTGAGATTTTAACTTTGAAAGAGCTGTAGTATCTCTCGCCACTGTGCCTTGTTGATTGGGGTCAGGAGCACACACAAGGGGTGGCTCCAGGAATTTTCTCAATTTTGAGTTTTCATGAGGACTTTGCTTCTTGAAAGAGATGTGCTGTTCTAACAGTTCTTTATCAATGCAGAGACCACCATCACTTTCTCCCCTGTTACCTATATTCTCACATATTGCTACCGTGTTTAACTTAAGAGTATGTTTGGGAAGTGCAGCTGGTTTGGGGAATATATGTCTGACCGGAAGCCCCAGGAGAAAACGAAGGTATTTGTATTGTAAATCAAGATCTATTTGATGAAGAGACTTTTCATCAAAAAGTAACAAAATTCTGTTTTTTCGTTTTGGTACTTTGAAACCAGAATGAATACATTTAGATAAAGGTTTCCTTATATTCTGAGGCCTGGCCATTGCATAAGATTCTCTTACAATTCTGGGAAAGGCTTTCATTTGAATCTCCAGTGTTTTCATAGAAAAGTGTATGCGCAGTTTGTCTTCTTCTTCTACTGAGTAGTTCTGAAGAATATGAGGCAATGGCATCTGCTTAGCAGAAGTCACTGAAGACGCTCTACTTTCTAGCTTACTAATACTCTTCAACTTTGTAATGATCTCTTTGCTATCCCTGGAAACACTGACAATCAATGTCTTCATACCCCTGACAGGCAGTGAATCCTTGGTGTATTTCTGTTTTAAGTTAAGTTCTATACTATCAATCCCTTCTAGAGACACAAAGCATATTTTTTTATGTCTTGGATATAGCTTCCAACGGTTATCTTCTGAAACAGACTGTTTTAGATAAAAGTTAAACTTTTGGAAGGATTGTTTTGCCATCTCTGGTATCAGATTCAGTTTTATTTCAAATGATTTTGACTCAAAATGATTAATGAGCTTATTGTTTTCTTTGGGAGTAAAACGTTTTAAAATGGGCTTTGGCTGCACTTTGGGAGGTGTCCTTGTGGATGTTGTTTCTGGGCTCCCTGCATGTGGCGGTGACTTCCAATCATCGGGTTTTGGGGCTTTTACCTTTTCCAGTATATCTTCACAAATTTTGTCATGGATGATTTTTATCTGGGATTCAAAGACACTCTTAATTGCTTCAAAAAGAGGAAGTAAACTTTCTGTACTTATACTATGTGCCACTCCTTCTATTTCATTACTTTTAACTTGGGATGCTATAGGCCCAATTCCTGGAAAAGTTTTTTGTTGCTGGACCTTTTGTGTGGTTGCGTCCTGGATGGGTTTGCTCTGCCCGCCCTGTTGAGGGGGTAAGCCACTCTCCATGGTTTTGAATGGCTGAATCCCATGTTGTGGTACTTCTAGTCCTGGAGGGGAAATAATCATAATTAGAGTATTCTCCATGTGGGTGTCCACATTGTCCTTCGGATGGTCAGACATGAGTAGACCCTCTGTTGGTGTCAGAATGGGTTTGGGTGCCTTTTCTTCATCTTCAGTCATAAGCAAGTCAGGTTCTTTCATGGTCCTTGAACTGTCATGCCCTGGAACAACCCTTTCTTCTTTTGTTTGTGGAAGGAAAATCTTTTTTTTTGTTTTGCTGCGGAGATTTGCTTCTGTTTTGACACTGGGGAGTTTTTGCTTTCGTTGCCCCTCCACCACAAAGGGCTGGGAATCCTGTGGAGCTGTGTTTATAAAATGCTGGTCCCCTTCTTTTACAGTGCTCGAGCTGTTCCCCTGAGTGTTTGGTGATTTCTGCTGGAATTCAGAGAGACAGAGTATCTTTTTTCTTCCTCGATTTGTTTCAGAGTCTACTATTTCTTCTGTCTGAGATGAACTCATTGCGGAAATAGAAAGATTTCTGATAAATATTCCCGAGGCATCTTCACTCTGCAAAACTATTTTCTTTGGTTTCTTCAAGTCATACTCTAATTTCTTTCTCTTGCTTGGAGTGCCACGTCCCGTGTTGTTAAGAATCTGTGAAATTGGATGATTTGGGATTTTCATGGTTAAATATTTGGGGCTCAATTCTCTTTTCAAATCTGCTACTGTCAATCTGCCTTTCCAGCCTTTAACTTTGAGAGAAAGAGGAATATAGGCATAAAATGAATCCAGAACATGTTTTTGAAACAATTTCTGTGGCTGAATATTTTGTTTTGCATCCGAGACTTCTAGCTCCTTTTTATGTTTTTGCCTATTTGGGCAGCTGTTCGCTATATGAGTTATCACCTGAGTGTTAATTTGAGATTTCTGTGCCTTTAGAGATGCAATGTTCAGGTTTACGGTATTGCTTGTGTCCCTTTTCTTGTTCTCCTCCAGCTTGACCATGGTGTGTTTATGCGTTTCTGTTTTGTCCACTGCCAGGCGGATAGCTATGTTTCTGTCTATTTTTAATTCCCCTTCTTCCACTTCTGATGTTTTTTGCTCCAGATTTACAGTAGTGCTTGTGTCCGTCTTATTTTTTCCCTCCAGGTCTCCAGACTGAAGTGGAAAAGTCCAGTGGGAAGAAAGAGACTCCTGGAGTGAGTCTAGAATACATTCCTCTTGTTCTGGAACTGGCAATCCCTGCTCTCTTTTCCCTCCTATGGTATCAAACACTGTAATATCCACGTGTATTCCTGGTAGTATTTGTATTCTAGGGTACACTATAGTTTCCTTGCATACATCTGTTTCCAATGGTGCCTTCTGCCTTCCACTTTGAAATGGGAACTTAAGAGAAAAGCTGGAGTCCAGCCAGGTCTTATGTCCACTCTCTGACTGTAGCACCACTTGCTTTTTCACAACAATCTCTTGTTCCTCTATACCTGGGGAGGCATCTGTCTCTGTGATTCTCGTCTTCTCAAGTAATCCTTTTGTCTGTGCGGCTGAGACTCTGGGAGAGAGCATTTTGCTCCCTTTATCATTATTGTGTATATCATTCTCTGGCTTATCCAATTTATATGAATCTGCAGATCCTGGAGATGCTTTTGATAAAGTTTTTTGTTGGTGGGCAACTTGCTCTGAAACAGAAAATCCTTTTGCACTTACAGGGGCACCAAATGTAATATATATTTCCTTGGATATTTTCCTTGGTGGTGAAACTAAAACCTTAGGACTCATTTTATGGTTTAAGTTATCCACTATTTCAGTTTGTTTCTTCAGATTTCCAATTTTAGTGGGCTCCCTGGTTGGGTAGGAAAGAAATGTAGTGAAAGTTTCTGTTTTGTATTTTTCTGGCTGAACCTCTTGCCCTGTAAAGAAATACTCCAGCCTTTTCCCACTTCTTGTACCAAATCCTGTTAAATAAACATCCTCATGCTGTGAATTTAAAACTAACTGACTCAAATCTCCTTCGGATTTGACTCGTGGAGGATCATTCCTTCGCCGTACACTGATCAGAAAGTTTGAGGCCCACTGTTGCACTGCCTCTTCCTGGGGTACGGAGTGTTCTGCTTTTTTAACAATTTCACCATCACCAGCAACTACCTCTGTAATTCCTGTTTTCTGGATACCTGAGGATTCCTGGACATCTTGCTGTGCAGGAGAGGATCCTGCAAATCCTGGCACATCTTTGTCTATTTTGCTCCCTGAGTCTAGAGAAAGGGGAGGGGCTGATGGAACAGAAAAAAAGGTCCTTGTCAAAACCACAGGTAGCTCATCTTTACCTTTGTACACATTTTCCTTTAGCTCTTTAATATTCAACACAAATTCCTTTGTGTTAAAGATGTGTGAAATTGACGAGATCCGGGCCTCCTTGTGATGCATCCTGATCATCATATCTACTGTTTTCACTTCACGCTTATTTTCTTTCTGTGACATGTGTTTGTTTTCTCTTTCACTCACAGCACAAATTGCCCCTATATCTGCTCTCCTCTTTCTATCTGATACTGCTGAAAGCATTTTTGGAATTAGAGAGGGTCTTTGAATTCTAAGCCTACCTTCATCTACTTGTATACCTTTATCCAGTGTGAGTTCAGCTGGAGGTTTGGAAACATAAATTTTTCTTAGCACTGTACGGGCTGGTTTACCTGGACATTCATGTTTCTTTTGTTCTTGCCCTCCAATGTTCAGATGCAATTCTGTTCTGTGGAGCGTAAGTGAAGGAGGTGATTTCCTGGACTTCAAACTTATATCTGTGATCTGTGTCCTATTTCTCATATCTGTTGTTTTTTCTCTGTCCTGCTCCTCTTCCCGAGGCACAAGTTGTTTCTCGTTTTGACCGTCTGTAATGCCGTCACCATGGATTGCTTCTGTATGTACTACTTCCCTGGTATTTGATTCTCTCTCCGCAACAGACCTTGCAGGTCCCAGCACTTCATCACCTACCTGAATTTCCTTATCCAGCTGCAGGTGAAGGAGAGATGATAATGAAGAGGAAGAGCCGGACACAACCACACCTGGTTCATCTTCGCTTTCCTGCATCTTCTTTTCTTGATGTTTGGGAAACCCGAGGTTTACTCTATCTGCTCCATCCTTTTCCTTTCTCTGGGGCATATGATGCTCTCCTTTTCGTGGACTGATCAAAATATCACTGGTAATGGGCTCTGTGCATTCCCTGTCCTTAGAATCTGATGATTCCTGGGAGCTGCCTGAGGAAAAAGAGCGTGTCGTGAATGTCGGCATTCTCCTTTCCTCATCTCTGGTATTTGTGCTGAAGTGAAGGAGAGAAGCTCGGCAAGTACAAGTCTTAGTCAGCTTCGCCGCACCTGGCTCAAGCCGACCTTCCTGAGCCATTCCCTCTTGCTTTTTGGTTTTCCATCGAAGGTCACTTAGATTGTATCTAAGTAAATGAGGCGATTTCTTTGCTTTTAAATACCTATCATTGGGATCCACTCTACTATTCATATCCATGTTTTTCTCTCTATCCCTCACTTCTTTCTGTAATGCGTCTTCTTTCCATTTTTCTACAGCATCTGAAAGTTCTCCATCAGTTGTTTCTGCATATGCTGTTTTCACTGCATCTTGTGATTCCCTGGACGGTAGGTGTGGGAGAGGCAGTTTTGTAATTCTCATCATGTACCCCTCTCCTCCTCTTGAACCAAATTTAAGGTATGGTAGAGTAAGTAAAGAAGTACAAATGTTCTCCAGATGTGTAGCTAGGTCCTTTTCATCTTTCTGCACCTTTCTCTCTCGCTTTTTAAATTTCCACTGCAATTTTTTGGTATCAGGTACAGATGAAAGTGGTAATTCCTTTACCCTCATAGCCATAGGTGTTGGGACCACTTTGTTTTCAGTATCTGTTTTGAGTCTGTCCTTCTCTTTTAACCCACAAACATCAAATGACTTAATATATGGCTTTTTGCCTGAACTGAATGGATCTTGAATCTTTGGTGGTGGAAAACAGGATTGTGTTATTCTTAATGTGTCTTCCTTTTCATTCATCCTTGTGTCCCATTTCGGATAAGATGGAGAAGGTAAGGAGGCATAGGTTTCCTTCAGAACCACTTCTGGTTCACTTTTGTCTTCTGGCACTTCTTTTCCTTGCTCTTTAATGTTCAAAGGTAGCCTCTTTCTACTGGGTAGATGTGGAAATGGGGTTGTCTCTGCTGTCAAGGTAATTATTTGGGGGAATCTTCTACCTTTCCCACCTTTTATTTTTACTCTGTCCTTTACGTCTGTTTTTGGCACATGTTGATAAGCTTTTATTACTATATTACATGATCTAGTGCTTTCACTGGAATCTGCATATCTGGTTTTTCCTGCACATGACTTGGGGCACAGCAGTTGTGGAGGAGAGAATCCTGTAATTGCAAGCAAGTCTTTGTCTACTTTGGTTCTTGTGTCCAAGCTGTGGTAAGATGGAGAAGGTGTGGAAGGAGGAGTTTTTGTCAGAGCCACGTCGGGATCTCCCATTCTTTGCTGCTCCTCTTCTACTTTCTCCTTTATACACTGAGGGTCCTCTCTCTCGTTCGAAGCACTGTGCTCAGTGACACTGAATTCATGAGGAGGTGGTGATGTCTTTGTCTTAAAATCTGAGCCCTGAGGCTGCATTGAGTCATTCATGGCTTCTGTTTGTACTCTGTCCCTTTCTGCCTGTTGTGGGCATTGTGCTCCCTTCTTCACATGGATACCAGGGGACTCTGTAGATGCTATTTGCCCTGGGGGCGACGATTCTTGGAGCTCAAGATATGGCGCATCATTTCTTATTACTTCTGGCTCGTGTTCCCCCTCTTTTGTGTCCCACTTAAGATGAGTTGAGGAAGTGAGAAAAGGATGAATTTTGCTCAGAAGCACAACGGTTTCCTTGTTATCTTCTTGTCCCACTTTCACTTGTTCTTTGATGTTCACTTGCAGTTTCTTTGTTTTGAGTATAAGGGAAAGGGGTGATTTCTTTGCCCTCAGAGCTATATACTTGGAATGCATTATGTCTTTCTCAAAAGTATTCTTTTCATCCTCTTCTCTCTGTGTCATGTATTTTGTTCTTTTCGAATCGTTTGAAATAGCATTCAAAGGTAGTACTGTATATTTCAATTTCTCTGCATTTGATGATTCCCTTTGCCATGAGGGTGGGAGAAAGGGTCTTGTTACTCGTTTCTCTTCCTTGCCTTCTATACCTTTGTTTAATTTAAACTGAGGCGGAGAGGGTCTTGTCAGAACCTTATCTAGCTCACTTCTTTCTTGTATGTATCTTGATTTTTCTTTCACGCTTGTCTGTACTTCTGTAATTCGGCGGTCACAACCCCCAGAGGTGTTGAGTACATGTGGAAGTGGTAATACCTTTGCCTTGGAAGTTGTGCCTTTGGGATACATTATGTATTTTATATTTACTATTTTTCTTCTATCTTCTCCTTCCTGTGGCTCATACTCTGGTACTACACTGACATCATTAGAAATGTCATCTCCAGCTGACTCTGCATACACTCTTTTCCCTGCATCAGATGACTTCTGTAGCTGGAGCTCTGAAACAGCAGATCTTGTTATCCCTTGCCTGTCTTCTTCTCCTTCTATTCCTGTGTTCAATTCATGGTGAGTTAGAGAAGATTCAGAAGCCCAGCTTGTGGGCAGAACTACTTCTTGTTCACATTTACCTCCTCCATCCACTTTCCCCTGCTCTTCGCTTTCTGGATCCTCTTTCACGGGCTCTTTAAGATTCAACGGTATGTCCTGTACTAGTGCTTTCTTTCTTTCTACATCTTCACCTTTTGGGTGCATCATGTCTCTCTTGGCTGATTTCTCTGCCTTAGTCTCTTCTTTCTGTGGTGTATGTTCTTTTGCTTCTTGTACATCACTTGTGAGATCACCATCAGTGGACTTTTCATTTGCTTTTTTCACTGCATCTGATGATTTCTGCTGTGACAGTGCTGGAAGAGAGTATCTTGTTACTTCAGTTACATAGTCTGCTTTTTTTATTTTTGTATCCACTTGTAAATGAGAAGGAGCAGGTACGCAAGTGCTAGTATTGGTCACAAGGACATTTGGCTCACTTTTAATTTTTTGTCTCTTCTCTTCTTGCTCTTTGATGTCCAGCTGGATTTCCTGTAAAATTGATTTCTTTTTCCTCCAAAGTATGACTTTAATCATTTTTACTCCCTCCTCTTCTTCCTGCAGTATATCATGTTCCTTGGCTTCTTTTACACTGTTTGAGGTATCACCATAAATAGCCTGTTTATATGCTTTTTTTCCTGTATCTGAGGACTCCTGGAGTTCTGTTTGTAGGAAAGAAGATCTTGCTTCTATTAGCAAGGCATCTTCCTCTCCTATTCTTGTGTCCACTTCTGAGTCAGGAGGAATAGAGATGGAAACACAAGATTTGCTCCAAATCCCAACTTGTTTATCTTTATCTTTCTCCATCTCTTTCACTTTTTCTTTGATGTCCAACTGTAATTCCTGTGTAACTGAACTCTGTTTTGCCTTCAAAACTATTCTTTTGGGATGCCTGATTGCTTCCAAGGCCACTTCCCCTCTATCTTTCTGTGGCACGTATTTTGCCTTTCTTATACTGCTTAAAATATCATCAGCCGGTTCCTCGCATATTCCCATTGCATCTGATAATTTCTGGAGCGGCAGTGATGGAAGACAAAATCTTGCAATCCCTCGCAAGAGCACCTGTTCTATCTCAGGATCCCATTCCACACGAGGTGGAGGAGGAATGGAAGCATGGCATTTGCTCTGAACTATCTCTAGATCGCTTTTATCTTTCTGCATTGTTTCCTCTTGTTCTTTGTTGTTCCACTGTGGTTCTTTTCCATGCAGTGTGTGTTTAAAAGGTGTTTTCTTTCCTTTAAAAGCGACACATTTGACACCCATTATGTCTCTCACATATCCTACATTTTTTCCATCTTCCTTTTTTCCCTGTGGCAAATGTTCTGATTCTCTTACATTGCTTAAGCTACCTCTATTAATGGACTCTGCAAATGAAGTTTTCCTTACATTTGGTGATACCTGGTGCTTTAGCAGTGGAAGGCAGCTCCTTGGTATTCCTGACTTCTCTTGCCCTACTTTTATTCTCGAATCCACATTAGTATGTGATAGAGACGGTAAGGAAGTACACAAGCTTGACAGTTTTATAGCTGATTTACATTTATCTGTCTGCACCTTGGTCTCTTTTTCTGTAAAGAGTGAGCTAATTTTTTCTGTACTTGGAATGTAATCCACAGTGCTAACTACTTCTTCTGATGCCTTCTTTTCAGATGGTGTCTTACTCTGAAATACATCCCTCGAAGAGTGAGATGCAGACTTTGGAGAAGTATGATGTATACATTCTGGATGCTCTTCATTTCCCTCCACATGCAAGCCAATCCCTTCTGTATTTGCATTGTGGTATGTTGGAGCCTTCAATGTTTTTTTTACACATGGCAACTTAATCTGAAGTACATCCATCGAGGAATGAGAAACTGATGTTTGGAGAACCTCGCATGTACTCTCTTTTTGATGTTCCTTTCTTCTTCTGTTATGCAAGTTAATATAAGGTTGATCTACTGGAGTATCTACTTCATTCAATGCTTTGTCTACCACTGAACTCGAAACTTTTGAACTCATTCCTTTTGCTGAGACTTTTTTCTTTCGCTTTCCATTATAGAGTTGATCCAATATGCAAGAAGAAACGGATTCCAGAATATTTTCTTTATTCTGGTTAGAACTATGGAATTGCTTCGCCCTCAGTTTTTCAGAAAAAGTCATTTTCCATCCATTTAATCTTAATGGAATATTCATTAACTTTGATTGCTCTTTTCTCCATGGATTTACATGTAAACTTATAGGAGTGCTTATGTCTTCTTTCTTTGTATTTATTGCCTGTGTTACCTGAAGACGCTCTCTATTTGGATGCGACACAGAATCCATAATACTTACAGGAATGCCATCTGGTTTCCCCTCTTCTTTCTGCACTGCAGACATAGTTTGCCAGACCTGCAGATTGGTGCAAAGAAACTTCTGTCCTTTTGAAGCTCGTGAGTTATCAGTTTCTTTTATGTCTTCTCTTCTCAATAGATGTGAAATAGTCCTTTTGTTAGTGGACGTATCTTCCTCAGCTACCTTTCCTGTGTTTTTCAGATGAGGAGGTTCCATAATGGAGAAGACAAAAGATCCCCAAATTGTCCGTGAAATACTTCCTTGTTTCTGGAATTCTTTCTCCTTGCGAGTCATCTGTTGAGAAGCATCCAACTCTTTAAGAAATATATTCTGTCCTTTTGAATTTACTGAAACATTGGTTTTCTTGGATACTCTTCTTCCCCCTGGAACTGAAACTGAATGTTCAACTACGTCTGCATCTTTGTGCTTTGCTCTTCGTGCAACAAGGAATTCATATTCTGTATGTGTTCTGATTCTTGGGATGTCTAACCCAGTGTAACTGATTTCCCTCTTCTGGGAAGCTAGACCACGGTGGACTTCTCTGTTCAAAGCTACTCCTATTTTCACATGGTCAAGCTCCTTCTTCACTTCTTGGCTAATCACTAACTGATCTCTACATTGTGGGAGAATGTCTAGTAAAACGATTTGGCCCTTTTCTTTTTGCTCTCTAATACACTGTTTCAATCTTTTGATATTTCTTGATATAGTACTCTTTATATCAGTGGACTCTGAAGATGACATTTTTCTTTTGTTTAGTGACTTCACCAGCTCTACCTGTGGAAGAAGGTAAATCGGCTTACTTGGCCTGTCTTTCTCCCGTTCTCCTTCTGTAAATTGTTTAATTTGAGATGAAAGAGATCCAGAATCACAAACAATGTTCAGAAATAAATCTGCTATGGTTTTATCTTGCTGGAACTCCTTCTGTTTCTTCATTTCATGTCTCGGTTCCTTTTTGTTTCTTCTGGTTCCACAACCTATAGTATGAAACAGCTGGGAGACAGGTGGCTTCTTTGCCTTCAGTCTCATCCGTTTGGTATGCACAGTGTTTTTCACATCTGCTGTTTTTGCCTTAGCTTTATGTTTTATGATTTTAGGATGCATAGGTGTGTAAGCATAAGCAGAACTAGCACCTGCTTTGTTTAGGGTATGTCTCTTTTCAGAAGAGTCTTCATAGATACCCCAGGTACTAGGTGACTGCTCCATTGTGATGTGTGATAAAATAGGCATAGACTCATATACAAATTTTAGGTCCACATTTAATGCAGTCTTCTCTCTCTTTCTGTCTCTCTTCTTTTCCTGTTGTTCATTAATGCTTAAAGCAGCATGACCAGTGGGATTAAGTGGTTGTGAAATCAGTAGCCCTTCAACTGGCAACTGCATTTGTGTTGGTTGTACATGACTAAACCTTGATATTCTGTCCATCCCTATTTTGAATCTATTTTGTCTTTCAATGTCAGAGGTATCTGGTGTGAAGTACATGGTATTTGGAAATGTATCAGCCACATTTTTACCTTGACGTATCTGTTGCATTTTGGTTTTTAAACTGGATCCAAGTTTTTTCCTGCGTTTTGTGGTAAACCGCCCTCTGATTTTAAGTAATTGTGAAACTGCTGGCTCCTTTTCCTTCAGAGTTGAACGTCTGGGGTTCAATGTGATTTTCTCTTCTAATAATTGTACTGTGCTTATCTGGCTTTCAGAGTCAGATAAAATTGGCGAAAAGAAATCTATAGGCTCCAGGAAAGTTGTGGCTGAATTTTCCTGTAACTCTACCTTTTCCTCTGTAATACGACCATGCAGATTTCTGTGAAGTGTTTTGTTATACAGAGTGCCCCTTGCTGTTGCTTCGAAGGATTGTTTATCAGTCACTGACTTGGGTGGTGGAATCTTAGTTCCCACAGCAGCAAGGAGTGATGCCTCGCCCACACCTTCAAACCAATGCCTCACTTTCATCTTGTACTGAAATTTGCACCCCTTCATCCTTCTATGGCTTCCTATAAAACATCCTGTGATATTAAGCAACTGTGAAACTGGTTGTTTCTTTGCCTTCAAAGTTACATGCTTGGGATTTATTATACTTTTCTTGCCTGAAAACTCTGTGTAGCTCTGGCTTTTAGGTTCACATGAATCAAAGCTGGGGAAATCTGAATATTTTAAGACTGTTCTTACGAAGTCATTTTGATTCCTTGCCTTTTTCTCAAAAGTACAACTATCGCATTTTCTCCTAGGATTTCCATCCCAGAGAACATCACATTGTATTGAACCAGTCTCTGATTTCCTTGCTTTCGGAAATGGAGTCTTTCTTCCTCCCATACATTTAATTCCTTCTTGAGTATGAAGACTTTTTTTCACTCTTTCAACTTGAAAATTCATCACGTGTCTAGAGATGGGCTTCAAAATAGTTCCTCTAAAGTGTTTTTCTGGCCTCATTTTTTGTTCTGCACAAGACAAATTCCAAGTGCTTCTGACTTCTAAATTATTCAGTTCAGATTCTGATTGGTAAGAACCAGGATATTTCATATGATGGGCATTGAAACTGAAGTGTTGCTTATAGTGTGGGACTGATTCCGATAATATTTTTTGGATATTTTCCTCTTCCTTTTCATGGTGCACATTCAATTTCATTGTGTTGCTTGATCTGTTTTGTGGATCAGTTGAGTTGGCCTTCCACACTTCCCCATCACATGCTGATTTCCCTAGCTCTGCAGAAGTACAGCTGTATGGTATTACTCTTGGTTGACCCGCCTCTGCTTTTGATGTGATATGCATTTCAATATCTATTTTGTTATCAGTTGAAACAGGCATGGGAGACAAAAATGCATTTGCTGTGCTTTTATTCTGTTGCATGTCGTTTATTATAGATTTTAAGTTGTGGTCCTGTTCCTTTCTACAGTAGAGATGATCATGCTCAGTGATATTAAGCACCTGTGAACAAAGAAGCTTCTTTGCCTTCATGGTTACACATTTGGGACCCCTACGATTTTTCCTTCTTGGAAATTTTAATATCTTCTCCTGACTTTCGGAGTCAAATAAAAGAGATACTGTGGGTGTTGTTAGTAAATCTCTTTGCAGCATTCTATGTTTCTTGGCAATGGGACCACTTTTCTTCCTTCCAGACCTTTTATCACCTGGATCTCCAAGTACTGTGTTCCCTGATTTGGTAGGTAAGATATTTTGATCAACTCTGTGTTTCATTACTTTTGGAGTTTTTATGACATCTTCTTCTTCTTCAGGTTGTAGGGAAACTGCAATGTGAACATCTAGCTTCCTTGCAGGGCTCCCGTCAGACACAGTACTACGCTCTGTTTCATCAACTAAATAGTCAAACGTTGTTTTCCCTAATTTTGGAAATGGAATCTTTTGCCCTGTTCCATTTGGTATGTCTTCTTGTGGTGGGAGAGTCTTGCTCAGCTCCTCAGTTTGAAATGGAATCGGAGGAGAACAAGTAGCTTCCAATTTACTTTCTGAAACCAGTGTTTGTTGCTGCACGTCCTCCTCCGTAAGAAGCATATTTTGAGCTTTTCTCCTTCCTGTATTATACAGGAATTGTAGACCTGCTTCAAATAAAACTCGGTCGCCCTCTCTTTCTTTTCTATTTTGCCATCTTGATTCTGATGTGCTGCTTGAGCTGCTCCATTTATTAGAAGAATAGGGACAGAGTCTTTCCCCTTCATGTTGTTCTGGCTGTATGATACTGCTTTTATTTCTTAATAGGTCTCTCTTTTTTACTTTTTTACGTGTTTTGATGGCAGGTGAAATGGGTGTGGGTGAAGGGAAGATATTCAAAACTGTATCTGACGTACTTTGAGGTGTTTCTTTGGCCGTGTTTTCCAAGGTGACGTCCTGTTCCTTTCCATGACTAAGAGCACCAGACCTAGCGATGTTGATTGTCTTTAAAATTGATGCCATTTTTGCCTTCCCATTTCTAGACTTGGGGATTTGTGCTGCATTTCTCCCACCTTCAAATTCAGTTGGCGCTGGCAGGGAGAAATCAAAGCCCTTTAGGGTTCTCCCTTGTAAATCCTTTCGCAACCTTATCTTTTCCTCAGGAGATCTAGCAAGTTCCTTTCTAGGGCCTCTTTCAGCTGGGATGTCACTCTGTGCTGTAACAATTAAAGATTTAGGAATTGATTTCTCTAGCACTGGAGACAAAATCTTTGGACCCTTTGCATATCGTAAACCTTTTTGTGTTTTTGTTCTTTTTGGTTGCTTCTCAAAGGGCAGGGAATTCAAAATAGAGCAAGAAACAGACTGTAATACACTTTGTGTGAGAAATGTTTGTTGCTGCAGCTCCAGGGCTGTGTTAAGTGGTTCTGGGATTTTTATCTTTGCTGAGTTCTTCAGTTCTAGTTCTGACTTCACAACGTAAATCTCCTTCATTTTACCAGCAATGAAGCTGGGGTGTTCAGAACTCCACGGGGCTGCCTCTTCACACGGGTGTTTGACCTCCGTCGTGTCATTGGAGGCGCGGCGGCTCCGATCACTGGAGTCAGCATAGCAGGCTCTCTCTCCATCTGGTGATTCCTCTTGCTGTTGCAGTTTGTGACTGAATCTCATTTTCCAGGACACATCAGACTCTGCTTTAATTCTGTTATGCATTTTCACGTCAAGTAAAACAGGAACAGGAGAGGAGGTGGCTTTTAGGCACATGTCTGCCCTGGGTTTCCCTTGTTTCATCATGATTTTGAAGTTGCATGTGAGTTGCCTTCTATGGCTGGGTGTGCCACGTTTTGTGATAGTGAGTGTCTGGGAAATCACTGCCTTCTTTGCCTTTGAAGTTACCCATTCAAGACTCATTTTATTTCTCTTGTCTATATACTTTAAATTGCTTCTCTTTCTTTTTAATGCAGGTAAAGCAAGTGTGGATAAATCCCAAGACTCCAGACTTGTTGCTGGTAATTCTTGCGCTAATCCTTTCCTTCTCTCTGCAATAAGATCTTCCAGGATCCCAGAGCATTTTATATGAATTAGCAAGTCAATAATCTGTGATTTCAGGGTCTTTGGACGTAGGTTTTTTAGACAACCACTCCCTGAGATATTAAATATTGGTGAAACTGGTGTCTTCTTTGCCTTCATAATCACACATCTGGGACTAATTTTATTTTTTAAGGCTGTACATGTAAATGTCTTTCTCTGCAGTTTAGATTCAGATAGACCAGGTGTGGAGATGACCAAAGACTCCAGGACATTTGCTTGTAGATCTTTTATAAACTCTGCATTTTCCTCTTTATCATGACTGTAAAATTCCCCCTTATGACTCCCAACACTTAGGTCACTTGTCCTAAGTGGACACTTAGGATCCATTAAAACTTGATCAATTAGTGATTTCTTTGACTTTAGAAAAGGAAGCTGTGAACTTACTGTATATGTTGCACCACTTTGTGTCTGGTAGCTTTTCTTCGGCTTCTGTCCCTGCACTGAATCTGGACGCAGCATTTGTTGTGAGATGTCTTGTTCAGTAACAAACAGAATTCTCCCACTTCCTTGGTTTTCTGATTGATGAAAACCAAGTTCTTCCTTGTGGCCTGAACAGAATTCGAAGTGTTGGCTGTGCTGTAGAATTACTTCTAATGGCTCCTGCTCACTTTCTTCTTCTGCATCTTGAAGACTGTTCTCTTTAGTGTCATCTGAAATAATATCCTCTTCCTGTGGTGATAAGACTTGCTTTACTTGTATAGAACTGAGACTTCTCTCTCCTAACATACCTTTTCCTCTTTCTGTCTTGCTATACATATTAACCTCAGGTGTACTATCCATGAAAGAATATATTTTAGCTGCCACTTTTTCACCTTGATCCATCTCTTCCATTTTGGCTGTAGAGTTATATCCCAATTCTTTTCTATGGTTTGGGCCGGCACCACCCTTCATACTGAATATGTATGAAACTGACGGTTTCTTTGCTTTTAAAATTCTGCATTTGAGATTCACTAAAGTTTTCGTGCCTGAGTATTTTTTAAAATTTTTCTTCCTTCTGAATGTAGATAAAGCAGGAATGCGGAAATCAAAAGTCACTGTGTCTTTCTTTTCAATACCACCAGCGTCTTCCTTTTGATGATTTGCATCAGACGGGACACCGTATTCTCTTGCAGAAAAAATGATTTCATCCATCTTTGCTCCCCCTGACTTTGGAGGTAAAAACCTAGCATAACTCTCCAGCTTTTCAAATCGAAACTGATCCAATATGGGGCATGAAGCAGAACCTAAAATAGTTTGTGAACTATGTTTTCGTGGTTGTACCTGAGTATTTATACTTCGCGGTTGTTTCAGTTCCTCATCTGATTTGACAAGGTCACAATTCCTCTGATATGCACTGAATATAAAGTCTCGGCTATTCTCTGGACCTGGTAAAGTTTCATGTTTCCCTTCCTCCTCTTTCTCATCTGTCACACTGTCAGTTAAAGTACTCACAATATAATCTGGGCAACACACTTTTCTTCCATTTAGCAATTTGTCTTGCATTGGCTGCATATAATCAAGTCTTGCTATCCTCTGCGCATCTGTCTCTACATTCAACCTGCTACTCATTTTGGTGTTGGACAAAATAGGCATGTTGGACTGAATGACACTGAGAAATGCATCCGCTCTGTTTTTATTTTGTTGTGGATTTTTCATCTTTGTTTTAAAATTGCACTGCAGTCCCTTGCTCTGTGTGCCTTTAAGCGTATGTAAAACCGATGGCTTTTTCCCCCTGATAGTTCTGTATCTGTGACTTGCTGTTCTATGCTTCCTTCTTAATTCTAATGTGTTTTTCTTTCTTTCAGATCTAGAAACAAAGGGCTCAATAGAATCAAAAGAAGTCAGGCATGTTGCTTGCAAATCTTTTGGTACCTCTGAATTGTTTTCCACAAAATAAGAATCTAGTACCCTCTCAGGGTTTCCACGATATGGTAAGCCACCCTTAGTCATGGTGTTGAAGTGTATATCAGATGATGAGTTCTCTGCTTTGGGAGGTGGAATCTTTGGGCCCATAGGGGCTATTATGTCATTTTCTGTTTTGCTGACTTTCTTGAGTTCCTCAGCTTCTCTAGGACCCATCTGGGGGCCAGTAGGCAGTGCAGTTTGTGCAAACCATGCTTGCTGCTGCACATCTCGCTCATGAACAGGCAGCTCCTGTGTTAAACAGTCCAGCACTGAGTCTGGTTCATCAAGGTGGGTCTCCTTCCCTTGAGAGGCATTGGGCCAGAGATACTGGGTATGCTGTGAAGCTGCTTCTAGCAAAGTTTTTGGCTCTACTTCCTCTCCATCTTCCACTTTTTCCTCTTGGTTATGGAACGCATAGCTCTTGTCAAAGAAATCAACATACCGTGGTCTCACTTCCTCTAATTCCCCTTGCTTTAACTGAGCAGGACAGAAGCTCTGCATGGGAGAGTAAAGGGTATTTATAAATTCATATACCAGTCCATTAGCTTGGTTGATCTTCTCCAACTTTGCCTTACATTTGGAGTCCAGTGTCCTTCTCTGACCTGTGCTATTAAATACTTGTGAAATTGATGGCTTCACAGTCTTCGAATCTACAGGTCTAGACTTCACCAAACTTGCTGTGTATGAGAATCTTACTTTGTTTTTATTTATTTTGGAATGAGTTGCAATAGGCATGTGGCAGTTAAAAGTCTCTGGAAAGGTTGTTGATAAATCTTTTGGTAATTCTGCAGAATTTGTTTCTGCAGAAAAGTAACCCATTTCCCTTGTATCACTTCCATAATCTAGAACATCACTTTCTCTGGTTTGGTTTGAAGGGTCTTCAGCCAGTGATTTTTCTGATGTTAGGAGAGGTGTCTCTGATGTTGGGAGAGGTGTCTCAGAATCTGCACTGCATTTTAAGTCGGCTTGTGTTGTTAGGCTTTTCTTCATATTCTCAACATGAAATAGGTCTATTACGGGAGAGTAAACCGACTCCATAAGGGTTTCCAAGGATGTAACTGGTGGAGGTATTTCTTCCTCTGTTTTGAATTCCTTCTCTGGATTGGCATCCGATCGGAGGCCCCGGCTGTCATGAAGGACTGCTTCTGGTGGAGCTTCTTTGTCTCCTCTCACTTCGTCTTGCAATTTAACTTCTAGTGTGTTGCCAGAGTCACTGCCTTTATTAATAGAATCTGAATACTTTTCTATCCTTTCATCTTCTGATTTCTCTTGTTTTAGCTTGGTCTGACTGAGATTCTCTGCATTTAATCTGCTTTGTGTTCTAATCCAAGGCAAAACAGACATGTTTTGGTGAGGGTAAGTAACACTCACAAGCTCATCTGCCACAATTTTATCTTGCAGCATCTCTTTAATTAAGGATTTAAAACTGCCGCTCAATCTTTTCCTAAGACTTGCAGTACCATGCCTACTAATACTGGGCATCAGTAAATTTGTTGGCTTCTTTACTTTCATAATTATAGATTTGGGACGGAGTACCCCTTTTGCACCTGATAATTTTTTTCTGATTTGCTGTCTTTTTAAATATGATAAAGGAAGCATATGGATAATGAAGGACCTCAGAGCAGCTGCAGGTAAAACTTGTTGGAGGTCTGCCTTTTCTTCTGTAATATGATCCTCTGTTATCCTTCTGGGGCTTCCACCAAAGGGGACACCACATTCTGTTGTTTCAGTCAAAACTTCGCCAGCTCGTGAGTTCTCCAGCCCCAGAAGAGGATTCTCTGGATCTGCAGTTCCTCTGCCTGTAGGTCTGTGTCTGCTTTGCTTAACCTCAACTTGAAATGGACCCGTCGTGGGGCATGGACTAGTCCCCAGAATTGTTCCTGTAGGAAGAGTTTGTGGTTGTACCTCTTGCTCTTTATTTTGAGTTTTTCTACTTTCTGAACTGCTCTGTTTTATTTTAAATCTGACGTATTTAGGCTTCTGCTTCAGTTGCAGGCTGAGGCTGAAATCTTGTGTCAGCTGTGGAAATGCTTCTGGACAAGTTTGTTGTTCTTCTTCTCTGTCATGTTCTTGTGGCTTGTTAGATACACATCTCTTCTCAATGTACTTTGCTTCCCATGTTTTCTTTTCGTCTGGTAATTTCTTCGTTGCCATTGAATGACTAACCCCTATTGTTGATGTATCTATCTTGGCTTTTAATCTGCTATGCATTTCCACATCAGGTGGTTCAGAAATGATAGTGTCAGTGGCATTGTGAAGTGTAGCGAATATTCTTTTACCTTGCATGTTTTTTATGTTACCTCTCGTGTCCTGTTCCAGTCCCTCACTTTCACTCAGGTTATCACATTCTGTAATATGAAATGTTAGTAGTGGTTTCTTTTCCTTCATAATTACATCTTCTGTACTCTCTTGAGTTCTTACGCTTGTTAATTGTTCACTGGTTTTATGCTCTTTGATTCCTAGTGAAATAAGCAGATGAACCTCTGAGGTCTCCAGAACAATTTCTAGAAAATCTTTTTGCTTTTGTATGTTTCCACGTGGAAAGTCCCTTTTCGTTTCTGGTGAACTAGTTGGTAACTTCTCTCCACTTGAAAGTGGAAGATGGGAATTCTCTGTATTTTTTAGGTCTTCCTGTGTTTTCATTCTCCTGTTTGATTCCACTTCCGTAGAGGAGACACATTTTTGCCAAGGTTCTGATAAAGCTTCTTTTAAAGGGGCCTCCTGCTTGGGAATATGCAGGTCAGATATTTTTTTACTATCGGGGGCATGAAACTCTGCAATACCGATTTCCTTTGCTTGTATAATTGGGTCTCTAAGAGACTCTTTATTCTTCCAGGTCATATCTATCGAGGAAGAACAAGGTGATTTTAGTTGAAAAGTATTGACCATGAAAGACTGTTCTAGCTGAAGTGGGATTTTTGGGAAAATGGTTTTTTGTCCTTTATTTTCTCCGTCATGCTCCTTTATATTTTTAGTACTGCCCGAGGTTCCTCTTTTCTCAAGAGACCCCAGGTAATCAACATTCTCTGCATCTGCTGACAGAGAATGTCTACATCCTGTTACACCTGGCATGACTCTCACTAGTTTTTTTCTGGAATACTTCTTAACATAGGGAGGAATAAGCTTGGAAACATAAGTAAGATGCAAAGCCGTATCTGATATACCTTTTCTTTGATGTAATTCTTTCTCCTTAGCATTATACGTGCATCCTAACTTGCTAGGTTTTGAAGTGTGACATACTGTCATTTGAAATACCCATGGAGTTGGTGTTTTCTTTGACTTTCGAGATGGAACTTTGAGACTAAGTTTACTCGTACTGTGTAATGCTTTTCTCCTCTTTTTCTGCCTTTTAAGGATAGGTGAAAGAGGCCCTGAGCCATATACAGAATACTGACTTAATTCTGATGAAGCGATTTGTTTCTGTCCCCCTGGCTTTACACTCTCCATTTGCAGCACCCCTTCTGCAAGTGAATCTGGACTTAGAGTTAAAACTAGAAATCTGGCATTCTTAAAAATAGCATTTTGCCCCTTAATTAAATATTTAATCTTGTTTGAATCTTTAAGCCAAACAGAATACTGGGCCTCACTGAAGTGTTTATCAGACTCTAGGCCCTTGATTGAATCTTGAGTCTCAACAGAATATGAGACATCGACCAAATGTTGGTTTCTGTCCATATCTTGGGTCTGGGAGGAGTCTTGCATGCTGCTGGAAAATGACTTCCTTATCAAATCCTGAGGTAGCGCAAAGTATCTGACCATGATATCAGGCTGGCTATTAGTTGATTCTTGGTTGTTAACAAATTGTTGGGCTTGACTAGTAAATCTGGTTTCATAAAAATCTTGATTCTGAGGAGGATTCTGTCCTGAAAAAGAATCTTGTGGTTGGGCAGAAATACCCATTCTAACAGAACGTTGATTCTGGATCAAGGACTCTTGAAGTCTTGAGTACAGATAAGTAATTTTATTCTCTAATGTAGTTTTGGATTTTAAAGCAATTTGATTTCTCACATTTTCTTCCAGAAGTCTGACTTGGTCCCTAGAAAGAAATAAGTGGGCAGAAGGGCATGGTGCCACATCGATATCTTCACTTTCTACAGTGATTCTAGAACTTCTTGAAAAGTTAAAGTCAGAAGAAAATACTAAATTTTTATTTTTGTTGGTTTTCATTATTGAAAATAATTTCTTGGATGAAAATTGTATTGTTTCATGTTCATTTTCTGGATACCCTCCATGGCTTGGAAAAAATTTCTTTACTTCTGAATGAAACAGTGACAAAGATGAACTAGTCCCATTTGAAGATATCATATGACTTTCACTAAAGTGACTTACTTGATATTTACTTTCACTGGTACTTGACCATATTACTTCATCTGCTGTTGAAACTCTATCTTCAAAGTCACCTTCATTTTCTTCAGAGGTAAGTGATGAAGTAATTGTTCTTTCTGAAGAGTCTTTAATTCTGAATATAAGAAAACAGTATGTAAATGAGTTGTCACTTAGACATATTTCATATAAGAACTCTCTCTAGATTTACAGAAACCCAATATAGTATATGAAAACGTAGCTCAACAGAAGAGTAAATTGAAAAGCCATTATCCACATTATAAAATAATTCATAACCTAGTTTCATTCATTCATAAATCAATCCACTGACAAAATGAAGTAAGTTAGTTTCATTTCTCAGAGAATGAGGGATTTTTTTTAATCTCAAAAACCCATCCGAAGTCTACTTTTGACAACAGTGAGTCAAAGTTGCAGGTTAAGGAGCACCTGGTGGCTCAGTGGGTTAAGCCTCTGCCTTCGGCTCAGGTCATGATCTCAGGGTCCTGGGATGGAGCCCTGCATTGGGCTCTCTGCTTGGCAGGGAGCCTGCTTCCTCCTCTCTCTCTCTCTGCCTGCCCCTCCGCCTACTTGTGATCTCTGTCAAATAAATAAATGAAATCTTTAAAAAAAAAAAAAAAAGAAGTTGCAGGTTAAGATTATATCCTTTTACAGGGGCACCTGGGTGGCTCAGATGATTAAGCGTCTGCTTTTGACTCAGGGCATGATCTTTGGGTCCTGGGATCAAGCCCCATATGGGGCTCCTTGCTCAGTGGGGAGTCTGCTTCTCCCTCTCCTTCTATCCCTCCCCCTGCTCATGCACTTGCTCTCATGCTCTCTCTCAAATAAATAAGTAAAATATTTTTTAAAAGATCATATCATTTTATAAAGAATATCAGTTTGTTTCTGCTCTCTGAAAGTTTTGACAAGGATAAAAATATTCTTGTGAAAATTTAGATACAACAGAAGAAGGTCCGGTACCATAAATAAGTGTTTTCTTTAAATATATCCAGATTATTTTAACAGCTGTTTATTTCTGATCGAGAGAAAGGCCTACATTTTAGGGTAGTGCTTCTCAGCACAATTTTGGATTGGAATAATGATCATGGAAGTGGACTCTCCATCATCTATTCTATATCAAATGATCAGGCTAAGTTGAATAGTAATCTTAGTTCCAAGTAACTAGTTTAGGAGTGGGCATGAACTAGTCCTAGCATAAGGCAATGATTTTTGAGGACTTGTGGGAAAAGTTGCCCCATTCCTAAGAAAGACACAGGAAGAAATGACTTCTTACTTCCTCTGGACATTGCAGTTCTGGTTTTGAAACTCTAGGGGCCACCTTTCTATCCACCTCAAGGTAAAACTAAAACTGAGAAAGGCAAAAGGAGAGAAAGGAACTTAATGAAGTTGTTGAGCACGTTATCAACCAGTTCTGTAGCCTAGTCTACCTCAGGATTTCCTATCATATGATACCATAAATTCTCTTAGAATGGCAGTTTGAATCATGGTTTCCTGTTACCTGAGAATTAAAATATCCAAACTGATAAAGGTAAGATATACAAACATTCTGGGGAATCAAGTGACCCCAATAAATTATAGCAGTGTCCAAACATAATTAGGATAAAATTTCATCAGGACAAGAATGTGATTATTCACTTAAAAAAGTAGAACAGATAGTGAAAATATAATACATAAAAAGGATTAATTTTTGCATATTTCAGGAAAAAGAGGAAAGCTGAAATGCAAGACAGGTATTTCAGCAATGTAATGCTGTGTTTTTGGGGCACCTGGGTGGCTCAGTGGGTTAAAGCCTCTGCCTTCGGCTCGGGTCACGATCTCAGAGTCCTGGGATCGAGCCCCACATCGGGCTCTCTGCTCAGCAGGGAGCCTGCTTCCTCCTCTCTCTCTGCCTGCTTCTCTGCCTACTTGTGATCTCTTAAAATCTTAAAAAAAAAAAAATTAAATACTGTGTTTTTAAACATAATAAAACAATGCTAGATAATTTTCATATGTTGAACCAACTGTGCATTCCTAGGAACAATCCCACTGGATCATAGTGTATAATCCTTTTAAGATGCTGCTGGATTGGTGTGTTAGTATCTTGTTAAGGGTTTTGCTTTTCTATTTATAAGGGATTTGGGTCTGATATCTGTCTTGTATACCAGTTCCACATACTCTCCATCTGGCAAGCTTCCAGGCCATCATAATTCTCCTGGTTTTCCTCCTCACTCTCTGGTAGCTCCTTCCCAGTCTCCTTTGATGGCTCCTCCTCTTCTTTCTGAACTCTTTTAGAGTATCTCAGGGCTCAGACCTTGTTCCTTTGCCCTTCTCACAGTCCCTTTGAAATCTCATCCTCTCTTACAGCTTTTAATATTGTCCATAAGCCAACAACCCCCAAACTTATTGCCTCTACCAGACATCTTTCCCAAACCACTTATTCACTACCTCTATTAGATATCAAATCAATAGCCCTAATTCAACAAATAGGAAACAATATTCCTGATCTCCCCATCAAAATCTGCCTCACCCACAGTTTTCTTCATCTGGGTTGACAACAGCTGCACTTTCTACCTGCTCAGGCCAAAACTCCTAACTCACTTCTGCCTCCTCTCTCACACATCCACACCCTGTCGGCTCTCCTTTTCTAAGTATGTCCTGAAACCAACCACGTCTCACCACCTCTGCTGCTGCCACCCTGGTGTCATTCACCTTTATCTCTCATTTTGGGTTACTCGGAATAGCCTGCCATCTACGTAGGCCCTTGAGCAAATATAGCCTTCTCTCAACACAGCAGGCAGAATAGTCCTTTAAAAATATCACTTCCCAGAACCCAGATGTCCATCAACAGATGAATGGATAAAGAAGATGTGGTATATATATACCATGGAATACTATGCAGCCTTCAAAAGAAATGAAATCTTACCATTTGCAACAATGTGGATGAAACTAGAGGGTATTATGGTGAGCAAAATAAGTCAATCAGAGAAAGACAATTATCATATGATCTCCCTGATATGAGGAATCTGAGAGGCAATGTGGGGGGGGTTGGGAGTAGGGAAGGAAAAAATGAAACCAGATGGGATCAGGAGGAGGATAAACCAAGAGACTCTTAATCTCACAAAACAAGTTGAGGGTTGCCGGGGGGAGAGGGGAGGGAGAGGGTGGTTGGGTTATGGACATTGGGGAGGGTATGTGCTATGGTGAGTGCTGTGAAGTGTGTAAGCCTGACAATTCACAGACCTGTACCCCTGGGACTAATAATACATTATATGTTAATAAAAAAATCACTTCCCTATGCAAAACTCTACAATTATTCTCCGTTGTTACTTAGAGTAAAAGCTATTGTCCTTAACATGGCCTAAGAGACCCAACCATGATCTAGTCACCCATTACTTCTCGGACCCCATCCTCTATATGTCACCCCCCGACTCCCTGCACCAGCCACACTGGCGTTCTTATGGTTTCTAAAACACTAGGTACACCCCCCCCCCCTTAGGGTCTTTGATTTAGTTGGTCCCAATGTCTGGAATCCTCTTCTACCTTAACTGTTTGCTTAACTCCCATATCCCTTCAAGGCTTTAGTCAAACCCCACCATATATGTTACAACTACCTCTCCTCCCCTACTTCTGGCACCTCATTCCTCTTACCCTATTCTATCTTTTGCTTTACCATAAATCCTATCATGTTTTGTCATATTATTTCTTTATTTATCCTATTGTTTTTTATTATCAGACTTTCCTCCAACTAAACCTTAAGGCAGGAATCATTTTTTTTTTTAATTCACTAATATATCTCAAGGGCATACAATAATGCCTGGCACATTGGTAAATATTTGTTGAGTGACCACTCTTCACTGTAGGTTTCTGATTACTAACTTTCATCCACAACAAGCTGACCCAGACATACAACCCAACCTTTTCTTTTAGTTCAGTAAGGGGGGGAAATCCACATACACAAAACACCCATAAAAGTGGCTCAGGACTGAAGGCAGAAATGGAGGGGAGTTGGTTACAGCAATACAAATAATACCCACTTAAACACTGGTTGTGTCTCCCCATTTTTGCAATGTCCTTTGACCTTTCCCAGCAACCTCAACTGGTTGTGGAAATTTTTTATTTTTTTTTTAAGATTTTATTTATTTATTTGACAGACAGTGTGCATGTGCACAAGCAAGGGAAGAGGCAGAGGGAGAGGGAGAAGCAGACACCCTGCTGAGCGGGGAGCCCAATGAGGGGCTTGATCCCCGGACCCCAAGATCATGACCTGAGCCAAGGGCAGACACTTAACCACTGAGCCACCCAGGTGCCCTGGCCTTGGAAAATTTAAAAAGAAGTCCCTGCACTCCTGGGAAAAGACTGACAGTTCTACAGCCATGGTAACAAGGACACATCAGAAATAATTGTAAATCTGTTAAACCACTCAATGGAATATAGTCAGTATAGTCTTAAGGTCATGGTAACAAATAAATACCAATTCCATTTTTAAACATTTTTATCAATGATAACACCCTTTAGGAAACACGCTTCTGAGACCAACCAATGCCAGCTCCAAGCTTTGAAAGTCACATAATGGTGGCAGGCTTTCCCAAGACACTTCTAAAGCTGACGTCAACCCTGAAACAAACCATTCCCCAAAAGTGGATCGATGTCACATGAGCAGTTTGCTTTGCTCACTGAGACTACACCTGGCCAGCAAGACTCTCCCTGATACCAGATAGTGAGTGGTGGTCACATCCTTTGATGTCCTTGATGCCTTTCAGTACTAAGCCTCAGGTCTTTTCCCCTGCTCCTCCCTCTCCTCTGCCCATCCCTCCACCTTTCTCTTCTCTCCCACTTCATAAGCAAGACAGAACTCACTCAGTCTGATGCAGTCCACTTTGACCAGCATGATGCCTGGGCTTCCATCAATATTCAAGCAGGATCACTTCAAAATAATCTAAGATGCTCTCCCAAATATGGTTCTGCCCTCAAAAATAATTCTGGTGCTAGGGTAAAGTATTCTTGCTTTGTTACACATATCATTTTAGCTAATCTTCATGATTTTCTAAGAGATAATTTTTCTAACTGCTATTTTGAAAGTAAGGAAATGGAGTTCAGGCCGGTGAGTTTAAGCCTAGGGCTATAATGTCATTAAAAGGCAGAACTATGACATAAACCTAGACTTTTTTAAATTAAAATTTGTGTTTTTTCACTATAATATGCTGCCCACCATAGAAGCCCTATCTCTTCCCTAATGGTAGTCATAATTTATTGCACATACCCTGCTGTTTCTTATTTACTTGCCTCTACTCATGTCCTAGAACACCCTCCTTACTCTCCTAACCTGCTGTCTTTTTCTAATTTTCATGCATCCTTTAAAATTCACCTCAGCATAAGCTTCTTCATGAAGCCATCTCTAACACCCTATGCTGGCTTAGCTATCTCCTAAATGTTTTCCTAATGCTTCTGTCACTGCGTTAGCATACTGCAAGGCAATCATCCTTTATGCATGTATCTCCTCCACAAGCATATAAGCTTCTAGAGAATAGAGACTGTCTTATTGTTTGTATCCCCGTACCAAACACAATGTCCATTGTAGAGTGGATATCTAATGATTGTTGAATAGATTTTGATATGAGCAACTAAAATATTAATGCAACAAGAATAGTGATGTCATATTTAATCCCTAGCACTAGTATATCTTCGGGATGCTGATGGATTCTGACTCTATAAACAAAATGTCACTCTTGCAGTACCTAGCTCAGGGTTTACTTGGTTCACAGTAGGTACTGAAGAGAAAGGTTGGATAGGGAAGCAAGTTACTAAACCTCATTAAACTTTCCTCATTTGTAAAAACAGTAATAATACTACCCACTTAGAAGGATAATTTCAATAGTACACGAAAAGCCATTAATACAGATTGGAACAGAGCAACCATTAAAATCAATGTTAGATGCAAGTGATGATTAACTGAACTCTACATCTGAAACTAACAATGTACTATATGTTGGCTAAATAAATTTAAATTTTTAAAAAATGAAAAAGTAAAAATCAATGTTAAGTTGAATTACGATGTCAAGTACCTGCGGTCCTCTATACATATGGGAAAATACTTTTCTGTAATTCAGATGTAAACGCAATTTTGCATAGCACAAAACCAACCTGTTTCTCTTAAATTCATAATATATCGCTTACCTTTCCTCAGAAGATGAAGGAGTTGGACAGTTATCTAGAGATAAGAGGGAATGAAAAAAAAAAGGTCAGAGCACCAATAGGAGAGGCTCAGGTTGAGCAAGTTTTATATTAAAGTATGAAATTTATAACATACCAAATTTCGTGCTTTTCAGGCAACTGTCTTCCTTCTATTTCAAGGGAGATTAATAACAAATATTAGAGGAGTAATCCAAATACCAGAGTTCTATAATTTTGTAAGTTATTCTTATGTATGATTTTGAAAAATAGGAAAGAAAGAAATCAACCATTTGTTCTTACCTTCTGGGCACTTGAATTACCCTTTTCTGGAAGTGTAGGCTTCTTATTAAAGGATGAACAAATCTTTATGAGTATGATCTCAAAAATAATCCCTAGGAAAATTATGAAAAAGATTGCCATCCAATCATTTTGAGTCCAGGACTCTAAAAGTTCCCACAATGTCCAGAATGTATTATCTTCCAGCCTATTCTGCCCTGCTTTTTTAAAGAAATAAAATTGCTTTGCCATTTTAGTGTAACATATGAGATAGACTGATGGTTCATTCTTAAGGTTACGATTCCGGATGCCCCGAAACACAAAAAGGTGGTATGCCCATTTCATAACCACATGCAATGCTCTGCCAGAAAAAAATTTGGGGTGCTGCTTAGTGTCTTGGTCAAGTGCAGCAGGGCCTGCTCTGGGCCTGAGTAAAGGGAGGTACGTGTCATAGTGGGTATTCGACTGAGCTCAGGTCAACTTACTTTAGCAATAATGGAAGTTCATTGATGAGACATGTATGCTGCTTTAGTAGTTTTTTTCATTTAAAAATTTTAAATCCTTTATTAATTTCACAAAAAGAAAACATAATTCTACAACAATCCCTCAGCACAGTTGTATTATTACTACCCTGGAATTCAAAAAATGTAGAACAAATTTGAATTAGACATAACCACCAGGAATACTGTATTTTATGCCTGTGATAAGGGAAGTATATAGTTTTGCCAGGTTTAGTAAAAACAAAATAAAAAATGAAACTAAATGCTCCAGTTTGAGTTTCAGATAAATACCAAATAATTTTTTGGTATGTCTCATTGTTACTAGGTAGGACATAGGACATATGATAGTTTTTCTCTTATAGGCCTGCCTGATTTTTTTTTTTTTTTAAAGATTTTATTTACTATTTGACAGAGAGATCACAAGTAGGCAGAGAGTCAAGCAGAGAGTCAGGCAGAGAGAGGAGGAGGCAGGCTTTCTGCTGAGCAGAGAGCCCGATGCAGGGCTCGATCCCAGGACACTGAGATCATGACCTGAGCCGAAGGCAGTGGCTTAATCCACTGAGCCACCCAGGCGCTCCCTGATTTTTTTTTTTTAATAGAATGTCTCATTTTATTCTTTTTGCTAGAGGAGTCTGCTAGCAATGTTCCTTAAGAATCTGCTGTTATGCTGAAAACCAAGGTTAGATTTTGGAATGGTCTCCTGATGAATTCCCTTTTTGCCCTGTCTCTGGTAATTCCAAGGAACAGCTACTTCTGAGGCTTCCTCATGTCAGAATTAGCATGGAGCCGAGCCAGGTCTAAGTACTGCTCACTTTCCCTCCAAGTCTAGACAGTAGGTGTAAAAGTTTACGGAGCAAACACAAGACAGTCTAGACTATTAAAAAAAAAAAAGTGTTAACACTACCTTGGATTTAGAGTATTTTCTCTTTGAATATTAATTCTCTTTGTCTTCGCTCATTCCAGGTGGGTTGAGGAAAGAAGTATATTCTTTATAACAGAGTTAATTAACTCTTCAAGTCTCTTCTGTCATATTATATATAACTGAGTGAAAGAAAGATTTATTGAGCTCTTACCTTCCTGGACTATTGGAAATAATGAGCTCAGTGACACAGCCTAAGCATCGGTTTATAGTCTTCCAGTCTACCAGACCATAACCTACAGGTATTTACAATCTTTACTTAGGTTTAACTACAATCTTGGGGTTTGTCTTTGTAAAGGATAGCTCTCCAGAATGCAGGGCAGGCACTCCTTAGTTCTTGAAGAAACTTTGGCAATTCCTCTGGATTTTTCTAGGATAAAGTATACCCTCCTCTCTGACCCCCCAACCCACCTACACAATCAGGGTGATTCTATTCTGCTGCATTTTTCTATAGAATTTAAAGCAGCTGGCAAAATACTCGATTCCTCTTGCCGGATAGCAGGCATTCTCTAATTCATTTAATGTTAACTACTGTATTCAATGCTTTAACACATTACAGTTCCTTAGATCTTTCAGAGCTTTATGGCACTGAATTCCTGATTTGTATACCACAGACCAGCTCTGTAAGAACTAAAGTGGAACTTCTGTGTACCACTCCTGCCGATGGGGAAGAAAAGCATAACCTCCTTTAGGGCTTTGTCATGTTTGTTAACTATGCACTTGTCTACTAAAAAGGTACAATCACCTAGTTCTCAGCGTAGACACCTCTGTTCTTTATCCCAGAAACCTCTTCTCGTGTCAAGCTCAAGTAAGCTGTGCAAAAGTAAGTGCTAAGCTGCATTTATTCTTAAAAATTATGAAGACAATAAAAAATAAATAAAACAGGGACGCCTAAATGGCTCAGTCAGTTAAGTGTCTGCTTTCAGCTTGCGTCATGATCCTGGGGTCCTGCGATTGGGTCCTGCATCAGGTTCCTTGCTCAGCAAGGAGACTGCTTCTCCCTCTGCCTGTTGCTCTCCCTTCTTGTGCCTGCTATTTCTCTCTCTCTGACAAATAAATGGATGAAATCTAAGAAAAAAATAAAAAAATATATAAAAATAAAATAATGAACACCAGAGAAACCCCATCATTAACAGTAATATAGACACTGGAAGAGAATACACCAAAAGATTGTTTAGTTTTTAAAGACCAATTATATCTACAAGTGCTACATTCTTTACACTATTTGGACATTGTGAACTAGGCATTTTTTTTTTATGTATTGGGAAAAAGTCCCAATAATATGTGTATAAAATAGCAACAAAAAAGCAAGGATTGCTCATAATGGTTAAAAATTCTCCCTCTGAATATCTTAGTTCAACACAACTAATTAAAAAGTGCTCTGTGGATACAAAGATTAGTAAAAACCATTCCCTGACATGGAGTATTTAACACATGATACGGCACAAATATGGCAATAATATACTAAGAAGGCAGAGTGTGATTAACAACAAAGAAAGGAAGATACTGTATGTATTCCAAGAAGGGATACTTGGTTGTGGTAATTCAAAAAAAGCTATAAAGAGGAAAAGGATGAGGAAGATCTGGTGACAAAGACTAAAAGGAAAGTTTCAGGAAGAGGAGACAGAAACACTTTGTTCCAAAACCTTGGATAGTCCAGGTTAACTGGAGTCACTGTGCTGTACACGTTCAGAGTACGGGGAAATGTGCTAAAAAGTTGATAGTGCCTATTGTGGACAGCCTTGAGCTCAAGACTTTGGCCTTAATAGCCACTTTTAGAGATCCATCAACAGCTTTTGATTGAGGGTATCCACTGGTCTGTTGAAGCAAGACCACCACAAAAGAGGAAGATCAGTTAGGTTACTGTAATTATGCAGATGAGAATCGATAAAGGCCTGCATTAGAGTGATTACAGTGTAAACAGAAGAGGGGATAAAATCAGACTTTGAGACTGAAAACCCAGTGTTTGACAACTAAAAGGAAGCAAATGGTTTTGGAAGGGGGTAGAAAAGCTAATGGTGAGGGAGAAAGGATTTCAAGGTATCCCCACGGGTAAAGTTTGTCTAGGACAAGATTCTGGACACTACTGATATTTTGGATCCGATACTTCTTTATGTCTGGCGGTCCTGTGCATTGTACCTGTTAGCAGCATCCCTTTCCTCCTCCTATCAGATGCTAGTAGCACTGCTACCCCGTTGTGCCGACCAAGTTTCCAGAGACTGTCAAATGTCCCTCAGGGGGCAAAATCACTAGTTGGGAACTATTGGTCTAGGTAATGGTTGTGCTATTAATCAGGGGTGCCTCCCAGAAGAGGGGCCAGGACAGCTCTTTGACCATAATCTCAAACTTGAAGGGGCTGCACATTTTCCCTGCAAGATGTGGAAATCTGTGAAAAGCAGCTAGGACCTTTTCACAAATGTTTATTTCAGCCTTCCCCAGCTCACTCATATCTCTCTAGGAGTTCTATGTCCCCCATCCCTGACTAGGTACACAGGTCTCAAATGACAAGCCCTTTCATCAATCAGGAAGTTTCCTAAAGGCCCCTCAGGGAAAATAATCAACTTTAAATGGCCCTCTATATTATCTCTATATTTGATTTAGTATTTTTGGTCATCTATATCATGCCTATACTTTATTTTTTAATTATTTTTTTATTTTTCAGCGTAACAGTATTCATTGTTTTTGCACCGCACCCAGTGCTCCATGCAATCCGTGCCCTCTCTAATACCCACCACCTGGTTCCCCCAACCTCCCACGCCCCCACTCCTTCAAAACCCTCAGATGCCTATACTTTAATTTGCAAACTGTACTATAATAACTATATAACCTGGTTAATAATCTTTTAAATCTATTTTTTCATTGTACTTCTGTATTATGGTCTGCTCTATAGTAAGTTTTCCTTTCCACTTTCCCATTAGTTTTACTTCTGATTTACGGTATTATTAATATTTCCCAATTGATTTATACTAGTTTATACACCATTATTCTATTTGTCAGCTCTGGATGTTTTTAACATGTTTATATTTTGACAACAGTACTGTTTTAAAGTTCTGAATGCTAATCAATGATTAAATATATACTATTTTTAAAATGTTAGGCCTTGTTTGAGAAATTTAGTTAAAAAGTAACTATTATACACAGAGTGATACAGAAAATTTGATTTCATAGTTTCATTCTATAATATAAAACAATTTAGACATTGTTATCTAGGCTTCTGTTCTTTATGCACTACTTAGAAAAAATTAACAAATAATTAAAATCCATTGACTCTATCAGAGAAGGAAGAATGAGGGACCTCAAAAATCTGCATGGCTTGGGCCACCCTGAGGTTCTCTGTAGGGCCTAATAATAGAGCAGTAGAGAAGCCAGGAAAAAGAGTTAATATCTTACTATAGAAAACTACCCTCTCCTACAAACATATATATCAGCCCCATCACATTCTGTGTCCTTTGTAGGAAATACAGACACTATACTTTTAATATGTAACTCAACACCACCAAAGTCCAGTCCAAGTATTAACTGAACTTTCCAGGCCAAAATTAGGTACCCTAACTCCACCTAGATACAGCACAGATGTTAATCCCACTATTTTGGCCTTATTTCATTCTCCCCTTAATCAGAGAGAGAGGTCTAGATATCAAGTTCCTCCATGTTAAGTATTTACCTATCTTCACAAACCTAATCAGGCTTTGCCCATAACAGGCCTTCAAGAAACATTTCTTCAATGAAGTTACTTCATTCCAAAAACAATGTTCAGAGTCCCCAAATTTGAAAATGTATCTTCCTTCCTATCCCTTGAGATTAAAAGATTAGGTGAATGAATGCATACATTCTAGAAAACAACTAAATTTACCATAATAAACAGTTGTTTTCCTTTTTTAAAGACACTACTCTGCAAAATTAGAGTACTTTCTCAGTTGCATAGCAAATAAGACAAAAGTTCCATTGTAACAAAATTCAAATGTTTAATTTTTTTTCAAAACTTAACTATATTAATGAAAATAAATTATATTTAGACCACTTCAATATTTGTACATCATCTTTATACAACTATAACAGTGCTTTCAAAAGACATTTTATAAAGGACATTAATTTCACAATTAAAATGTGTTTTAAAAATGGGGGAAACATTAAAGAACATTAACTTCATCTGAAATATCTCATAATGCTGAGAGGTATGCTTCTTTATCAAATGAACTGTATTTGTATTAAAAATAATGTAGTTTGTAGCTAGATACAATTATCTCTTGTCCATTTCAGTGATTTCCTGGATCCAAAACAAAATCTGTGTATTTATTTCTTTGAAAACATCATTTGTTGATCGTCCTTTCACTGCCATGGAATGATTTGCCTTCTCAATCCAGTAGATTTTATTGGGAGCTTGCATTTTCTGTGCCACTTTCTCCAACAAGTTCTAAAGAAAAAAAAGAAGAGGATGCAAGACTAATGCTCTTTCAGGGTTTAATAAAGATCCTCTCTCTCCCTGCACCACCTCTACTGGCATCCATTCACTAAATATTCATTAATATCTACTCTACAGACAACTTTCAAGGCAATGGACTATGCAAAGAAATGTCCACAGAAGTGGCAGTCCATCCACATCTCTCAAATACAGCAATATCATAGAACAGATCAAGCATCCATTAGACCATCTATAGTAACATGTTTAAGTTACTCTGTCTCGAGTCAATTTTATAACCATCTGAAGAATCCGCTTAAATGTTGAAATGATAAACCAAATGAACAGCCTAGTATAAATCCCCAAATCACAAGATTCAGATATTAATCTTTTTATTCCCAAATAAGAGTCAATCCATTTAGCAACTCTTTCCAGGGAGATGAATTCTGTCAGTATGCTTATATTTTTCAGTTCTCTGAAGTAACAGGTAACTAAGTCACAAAACTAGCATTAGTCCAATCAGCACCTTTTAAAGAGATTGAAAGTTGCAGATAATATCTTGTTCCCAAGACACTGTCTTTCATTCACTCTCTCATTTATGCAAACATCAAGTTATAATTCACCTTTTCACACATTTCATCCGCTGAGCCTGACACAAACAATACAGGATCTTTTATACGATAGAGATCTTCATCTCTAAGTTTATGTTGCTGCTTTGGATGGTGCAGTGGGTAAGAAATACAAATGAGACCTCGAACAAAATCATCAGCATCATCTGGCTCAATATGGCATATTACAGAAGCAGCTGCTCTTGAGCCCATTGAACGACCTAAAAATCAATTAAAATTAAGTTCAGTTTGAAATACCAACATTCATATATAGAAGTGGTGCTAATATGGCACGTTAAGATTTCATTTACTGTTCATCCATCATATCTCTATCACTTAACTCCAAAAGGTGGCAATTAACAAGTTTTAATATCCACAATGGACATCTATAACTTCATGAAATGCTAAAAATTGATCCCAAGTCAAAAAAAGGGGGGGGAGGCAGGTTTTTTTCTGAAGAATACTTGAGGTAAGGACCAAAGAATCATTTGAGAGACAGTGACTTAGGGATATAAATAAAAGGAACGATCTTTGGGTTCCAAAATGTATGTATGAGGTTTAAATTTGCTTTAAATATATAAAGTGCCTTGATGTTATAAAAGAAAGTAAAATAGCAAAACAAAAAAATCCTTAAATTAGCTTCCTATCACCAATTAATTTTAATTATTGATCACCTGTTCCTATATTAATATAAGTAGTTTTTTTTTAAGATTTTTTTAAAATTTATTTGACAGACAGAGATCACAAGTAGGCAGAGAGGCAGGCAGAGAGAGAGAGGGGAAAGCAGGCTCCCTGCTGAGCAGAGAGCCCGATGAGGGGCTGGATCCCAGAACCCTGGGACCACGACCCAAGCCGAAGGCAGAAGCTTAACCCACTGAGCCACCCAGGTGCCCCTAATATTAAGTAGATTTAAAAGCAAGTATTGCAACTTACCACCAAGGAAAACACCTGCCAGTTTGTATTCTCCTGAGGTCTTTAGGTAATTCTAGAAAAACCAACCAAAAAATTATCAGTTCTTCTCCTATGAAATACTCCACTGGAAAAACCAACATATATTTCTCATCATTAGTGAAATGTATAAAACTGTTTGCAAAGACAACCATAAAAATCTCAAGGGATTCTTCTTGAAAGAGGTAACCAGTTCTTTGCTCTTCTGATCATGCTGTCACTATCAAATCATAGCTGGGTAAATACAGGCAAATAAATGAGAAAAAAAAAATCACTTTGCCTGTCTCAAAAAAAGTATTAAATTATTTTTAAAGAATTACATTAAAAACAAAGCCAGTAAAATCTTCCAACTAATACACAATACTATTAAAATCTAACTTAAAGCCCTGAAAAACTTAGCAAGATTGAAATAATCTGGATTTTAAAAATTTCAAATTTGTGTTATCCAGGGATTTTACAGCTTCAAAATGCTATATTTATACATTCATAATATAGTAGGCAAATATCCAGAACTGTATTCTGAAGTTAAATAATTCCACTAAGAAAATTACATCATAAATAATTTCCTTGGTAGTACCATGAAAGAACATTTATGATGGGAGCACTCATCTCCATGGAAACTGAGAGCAAAAAAGAAAAATCTGACTACTATACAGCTGTCATGTACTATTGAGTTTCTAAGAATATTCATTAAAAGCTTTTTAAATAAATCAAACGACTGCCAATAGAATTTGTCTTAAATGTATTAAGAATTTTAAAACAAAATTCTGTTATAAGTAAATATAAAGAAATTTTCTTACCAAAACTGATTTATATGCCTTAATTCTATGTACAATATTAAGGCCTTTACAGGTAAATCTCAGGCAAAAAAAACCATGAGATGCAAGATGGGATGCCAGTGACATCAAATGAGGAAGGTTCATATCTCCTGACGCTCCATGTGTAAGAATTATTCCATATGTTAAGCTCTTGTTAGGTACCAAACAAACAGCATCTAGTAATTTATTTCCAAAAGGTATTTTTAATTTAACCTGGAATTCAAGAGAATAAAGGGATCAAAAATTACTTCCTTGCCTATTCAGACAACTAAATAACTATGTTTGTTCTGTGAGAACCATGACTCACATGGCCACTAAGTAAAAAGCAATATTAACAATAGCTAGTATTTAAGTATTTATTTATTGTGTGTCAGGTACTATTATAATGCTTTATATGTATTAATTTATTTAACCTTCCTAATAATTCTATGAAGTACTATCATCACCTCCTTTTTACAGATGAGAAAACAGCCACAGCAGGTTAAGTAACTTTGTGCCCAAAGTTATACAGCCACTAGCTAGAATTCAAACTTGGGCAGTTTGCTCCAAAAGTCTTTCCTTTTAACCACTAATGCTATACTGTCTCTCACTGTACAAGCTGAAAATAAGAAAATCACTCTGGAGCCACATGACTTAAAAAAAAAAAAAAAAGGAACCCTGAAGATGCAGAACATACGAAAATATGTATTACCTCTGTATGACTCATTTTCACTGTTGAATAACAAACTTAAAGTGCATTACATCTGAGAAGCAAAGGACATCTCCCTGAAAAGAAGATTCTGTTGTGAAAGGTGGGTTGGCAGACATGGATATGACATATAGAACTATGAATGAACACATTCAGTAGCTGAAATAAACACATTTAGAACTACTTCTCTGAGAACTGGTGCCTTTACAGGTGCATTATTTCACTAATTATTTTCAAGCTTCCTAAAACCACAGGTACTCAGAATTGGGTTACAAGGCCAGGTGTGGGGATGGCAGATGTTACATAAGAAAAGCCAATATGATACCTTGACATGGAAACCTTAAGAAAATTCATATCAGAGTAAAATGCTGTATCTTGGCATATATTATGCATATCTTTTTTCCTAAGCATCTTTATTCTCAACCAACTATCTTCAACTTAATTTCACAGTATCTTTCTATTAACCCATTTCTTTCATCATTATCTTTCCAACATTATCTCTCCAACTCCTCTCACCCCACAACAGAAGTATATATCCACATTCTCTGTTAGGTGCCTTTGCAGAGCCTCCCAGTAGACAGAGTGTACATACATTTCTACCCTGTTGATTTGGGACTTGACTCTGTGACATTGCTTTAAGTAATGGAATATATGTAAAAGTTTTGATGTGTCATTTCTGAGCAGAAAACATGGCAAATTTCAAGAAGCCTCCCTTGAAGTCCCACCCTCAGCCATCAGAAAAGCATGTTCCAGGTATTTTTGCTTTTTTAGCCTAGGTCCCAGATCGAAGATACATGCTGCAGATACGAACCCAAAACTAAAGTCTGGAGTCCAGCCTAATCCAGCCAAGATCTGAGCCACTGAAGAACCAAGAGCATGAAATGTAAGCCACTGAGATCTTGGGATTGTTATGCAGCATTCCTTCCTGTTTTGAGAAATCTTTTGTTCAGGATCTTACCAACATCAAGATCTCCATTAATCATCTATTTTTACCTGTTAACATTTACTTATTCATTCACTGGGTAACAATAAGAGGGTTCAAAGTTCAAAGATGCCAAAAATATACAGTGAAAAGCCTCCCTCACTCCATTTTTGACTCATTACCCAGATCCCTTCTCCAAAGTCAGCTGGTATTACCTGCTTCTTACATGTACTTCCAGATATTTTATACATATATACACACATACCCCTCCTTTTTAAAAAATAAACTCATGTTTTTCTGAATCCCCTACCACTTAAAATACATTTTGTGCTTACTTTTTTTTTTTTTTATACAATGAGTTTCTTTCATTGTATTTTACAGCTGCAGAATATTCCAAGGAAGGGTCTTACATAATTTATTTCACCAACCATTATCTATTAATGAACACTGAGATTATTTCCAATATTTTGCTAAAATATTGCAATGAATGGCATGTACTTACATTATTTTCTTATGTGTAGACAAACCCATATAATAAATTCATGGGAGAGGAATTGCTGTATCAAATGATGTATTCATTTGAAATTCTATTTTTTAAGGAATACATTTAATTTTTGAATAGGCAATGTATTTGCATATGGTACAAAATTTTAAAAGAACAAAAATGTAAATAGGCAAGTCTCCTCACATCCTTCTCCCCCAGCCGCCTAGTTCCTTTCCCTTCCCAGAAGCAACCACTGTGACCACTTATCGTCCTTCCATATATCTGTATGTGTGTGCAGAAAAATTCTTATTTGAACATAAGGGGAATTAATCTAGCTACAACAATTCTGAGATTTGAGTGGGAGAAGGATAAAGTACCTCAGCCTTCAGTGTCCCTGCTTTCATAAATGTAGCCCCATAATTAAGTGTGCCTGGGGTCCCCTGGTTCAAAGATCCTGTTCTATGTTCTCAACAGAACAGCCTCCTGCCTCCTCCCATTAGAAAATGGGAGAAAGGCGGTCGGTCACCCAAAAGTGTGAAATGGGGAAGGAGATGTAGATACCTGACTGCCTGTGGAACAGACTGCACCTAAGTTAGCTTTACTTAAGCCCTCCAGCTCCACCCCCAACACCATTCCCTTCATTGCCAGTTCCCAAGGTGACCGGTGCTGCCAGTGTCTGTGTGGTTCGTGGAGACTTGTTCAACAGTACTTCTTGCTGCAGGTTTAGAATTAAGCTAAGCTTTGCGGAGAACATTTGCTTTCCAGGCCCCAATATTTTACTGCTGCTGTTTCCTTTCCCGTTCTCTCCTTCACCTGGATTCACGTTTCTTAAAAATCCTCTTTACTGTAAGTTGGGTGAGACTTCCGGAGGGAGTAGTATCAGATACACGTATTCAACCCACTATCTTAGCCCAGAATGCTCTACTCCTCCTCAGAAACTTGGGTTTGCGTGTGTGTGTGGGGGGGGGGTTGTGTATTGGAGGGGGGTGTTTCCAGAAAAAACTCTACTCCCAGATTTCCCGAGGAACAGTCTGTTCTTCGTGACTGGCGCACGTGTTCCGGTCCTCACTATTACTCACAGCAGGACCGCACCGCAACCTCCGGTCTCGACCCAGAGTCTGGCTCTGCAAACCGGGAGCCGCGGAGACACCGCGCCGAGGGGTCGGTAGTCCCTTCCTTTGGCAGTGTCCCCACATCGCGAGCCTTCAAGAGGGACCCGCACGACGACTCCTCGAGCCCAGCGTGCACTGAGCGATCGCAGCTCACGCTGCAGGACCGACCTGCCACAACCACCGTAACTTCCACCAGAAACCGGCGTGGGTACCACCGGTCGGACCCACAGCCGCACGCCGCAAGTCGTGGGCAAACAAAAGCGCTAAGAGTTCAAGTCTTCCGGGGGCTGAGAACCCGGCCGGGTCCGCGACAGACACCGAGCGGTCGCAGGGCAGAAATTCGGAGCTGAGTCCCCCAGAGTTCGCGATTCGAAGGCACCGGAGGCTCCCAACGTTCGCTCAACTGGCGCGCGTGCGCGGGGCTGGGTGGTCGTCCCCGGGGCTCCGCGCGACCCCTCACGGCTCCCCGCAGTTCGCCTCTCCCCGCCCGCCGCGACCCCTCGCTCCCGCCTCCCCATCCGCCAGGCGGCGAAATCCCGGCGGCCGGGCCCGCGGGCACCGAGCTTACACCGACTGCCTCACGGAGGCGACCAATACCCCCCGAGGGGCGACGGCCGCGAGCTCGAAATGTGTCAGATGGGGCCCCCAGGCGCGCCAGCACCCTTCCCTGGATGCCGCCCCCACCTGGCGGCGGCATCCACCACCGCTGCCGCTCTTACCCGGGAAGGGAAGGTGGCCGAGAGCGCGTAAGCGTCCTCACTCTCCTCACGGAACAAACTACCGCGCTCGAAGGGGCCGCCTCGCCTCACCCGCCAGCCCGTGCCGCCTTGGCGCACGCGCGCGCAGGCCCCGCCCCCTGGCGCGCGGGCCGGCGCGCGGGGCACGCTGGGAGCGGGAGTTTTCCTGTTATTTCCTTGGGGAACCGGGCGGCAGGTACTCACCAGCAGCCGGGTGGCTCCTGAGCAAACTCCGGTCGCTGCCTCACCCTCGGCTCACTCAAGCTGGACCCTTCCCCATCCCAGCAGCTTCGTTCCAGCAGTTGCGCAGGTCCATTAATGTGAGGTCATCTCTGATTATTCTTTTTTTCACACTCATAGTCTGTCCATCTTACAGCTTACAAATACAAACAAATCCAGCCGCCTCTCCTGCTTCTACCAGACTGGTTGGAGAGCCCCCATTCAGCGCTGCCTGAAGTGTTGAAATAAGTCTCCTAAATGCTCTCTTGTTCCCGCCTTTGCCTCCACTGTTGGCTACTTGATCAGCACAGCAACCAGCTGGACCTGGCTGAACTGTAAACGCCTCCTGTCGAAGCCTTCCGGAGGCTCCCCACCTCTCCTAACCAAAGCCAAAGCCCTTACAAAGACCACCAAGGCTTTATACTGTTTATTCAAGTTTTTATTTACATTCTAGTAATACTAGTTTCAGGAGTAGAATTAAGTAATTCGACATTTGTGCACAAAGACCAGTAATCATTCAAGTGCCCTCCTGAATGCGCAGGACTTATTGAACCGGCCACCTCCAACCCCCCCCCCACCCCCCGCAATCTTCAGCTCTCTTGTTAAGGATCTGTTTTATTATTTGTTTTTATGATTTGCTTCCCTCTTTTTCTGTCCCTACATTTGTCTGTTTTGTTTCTTAAATTCCACATATGATTTCACTCATATCTCTGACTGAATTATTTCCCTTAGCGTAATACACTCTAGCTCAATCCATGTCACCGCAGTTGATAAGAGTTTATTCTTTTGTATGGCTGAGGAATATTCCATTGTATATATACACCACATCTTCTTTTCTTTTAAGATTTTATTTATTTGACAGAGATCACAAGTAGGCAGAGAGGTAGGCAGAGAGGAAGAAGAAGGCTCCTTGCTGAGCAGAGAGCCGGATGCAGGGCTCCACCCCAGGACCCTGGGATCATGACCTGAGCCAAAGGCAGAGACTTTAACCCACTGAGCCACCCAGGCGCCCCAATACACCACATCTTCTTTATCCATTCATCAGTCGATGGACATTTGGGATCTTTCTATAATCTGGCTATTGTTGATAATGCTGCTGTAAACATTGGGGTGCATGTATCCCTTCGAATCAGTATTTTTGTATCCTTTGGATAAATACCTAGGAGTGCAATTGCTGGATTAGGGTAGTGCTATTTGAACTTTTTGAAGAAGTTCCAGGCATTGGCTGCACCAGCCTTCATTCCCACCAATACTGTAAGAGGGTTCCCCTTTCCCTGCATCCTCGTGGGAAACATCTGTTGTTTCCTGAGTTGTTAATTTTAGCCATTCTAACAGGTGTGAGGTGAATCTCATTTTAGTTTTGTATTTCCCTGATGAATGATGATGGTGAGCACCTCTTTAATGTGTTTGTTAGCCGTCGGGATGCCTTCTTTGGAAAAATGTCTATTCCTGTCTCTAACCATTTCTTGACTGTATTATTTGTTTTTTGGGTGTTGACTTTATTAAGTTATTTATAGATCTTGGATATTAACCCTTTATCAGATATGTCATTTGCAAATATCTTCTCCCATCTTAAAGGTTACCTTTTAGTTTTGTTAATTGTTTCCTTCACTGTGCAGAAGATTTATCTTGATGAAGTCCCAGTAGTTCATTTTTCCTTTTGTTTCCCTTGCTTCCAAAGACCTAATAAGAAACTGCTATAGCCGATGTCAAAGAGGTTGCTGTCTGTATTCTCCTCTAGGATTGCGATGGTTTCCATTTCACATTTAGGTCATTCATCCATTTTGAATTTATTTTTGTGTGTCTTGTAAGAAAATGGTCCAGTTTCATTCTTCTGAATGTTGCTGTCCTCTTTCCCCAACACCATTTGTTGAAGGGACTGCCCTTTTTTCCTTTGGTATTCTTTCTTGCTTTGTCAAAGATTAGTTGACCATATAGTTATGGGTCCATTTCTGGGTTTTCTGTTCCTGTTCCATTGATCTATCTTTCTGTTTTTGTGCCAGTACAATACTGTCTTGATCGCTACAGCTTTGTGATATACCTAGAAGTTCAGGAATTGCGATGACCTCAGCTTTGCTTTTCTTTTTCAAGATTGCTTTGGCTATTTGGGGTCTTTGGTGGTTCCATTAAAATTTTAGGATTCCAGCTCTGTGAAAAATGCTGGTGGCGTTTTGATAGGCATCACATTAAATGTGTAGATTGCTTTGAGTAGTATAGACATTTTAATAATATTTGTTCTTCTAATCCATGAACATGGGCTGTCTTTTCATTTCTATATGTCAACTTTAATTTCTTTCATAAGAGTTCTATAGTTTTCAGAGTACAGATCTTTTAGCTCTTTGGTAGGGTTTATTCCTAGGTATCTTATGCATTTTGGTGCAGTTGTAAATGAGATCGGATTTCTCTTTCTGCTATTTCATTATTGGTGTGTAGAAATGCAACAGATTTTTGTATGTTGATTTTATATCCTGCAACTTTACTGAATTTGTATATCGGTTCTAGCAATTTTTTTGATGGAGCCTTTCAGGTTATCCACATAGTGTATCATGTCATCTGCAAATAGTGACAGTTTACTTCTTCCTTGTTGATTTAGATGCCTTTTATTTCTTTCTGTTGTCTGAGTGCTGAGGCTAAGAGTTCTAGTACTGTCTTAAATAACAGTGGTGAGATGGACATCTCTGTCTTGTTCCTGACTGTGGAGGAAC